ATATATATAGATATTATTTGTCATTTCAAATTGAATCAAACCAGTCAATATCATATGTTTTTATTATATTATACTTGCTAACTTTATCTTTACCCAAAAGCATTTGAATACCTAATTCAAAGACACAACTAGGTTACAATGCCTCTATCACACATTGTCATTAACCCAACCTTACGTTCTACATATAAATCAGTACAAAGACAGACTTTAATAAAACCTGCACTCTCACAATATTTCATTCAGCCCCAACCTTCAACAAAAAAGAAAGTTAAGCCATGGCTCCTTGCTGTTCCCTTTGCTTTGATCCCCACAAACTGCCCAAACTCCGCTCCTTCTTTCAACCCTTCTGCCTCCCTTTCTGCCGTGGTGTTTTCTCCCCCTCCCCTTCCCCTCTCCCCTCCGATGACGATGGCGGCGCCACTGACGCCGACAACTACCATCTTAACAATCATCATGTCTGTTTCCATACAACATCAAGCAAAGTTTATAAAATTTATATAAAAAAAAAAACTAATAATTTTTTTGCTTTTCAGGTGATCATCTTGGAGATCAGGCAAAGGGCGATGATGAAGTCGAGAAGCCAGCCGAGGAGCTCCTTCATAATCGTGACGGCAGAGGAGTTTGGGAGGCTTATTAATGCGGTGGCACCGCCGCCGCCGCCATCGAAGGCGAACAAATCCATTGATGTAGAGAGAAGGGAGAAGAATGATGGAAAATATGAAGGAGAGGAAGAGAACGAGGAGTTCTTCTCGGTAAAAAGCTGCTTCTCTCGGTGCTCTAGCGGAGACGAAGACTGCTGGTTGAGTGGGAGGACGGCGGCGTTGCTGGTGACGTTGTCGGAGGAATGTGAAGGGTGGCCGTTTGGGCTGTGGCGGCGGCGGAAGGTAGTGGTGCTTCCGCCATTGCCAAAGTCGCCGGCGGATTCCTGGACTTGGCATAAGAGGAACCTGAATAATGTTAAGGTTTAGCGGCAGCTGCCTTAAAAACAGGTGTATTGGTTCTCATGAACAAAGGAGAGGGTAATGGGGATAAAAAGAAAAATAAAATTTTCTCAGGGTCAAATTTAAAATTTTAAAATTTATCTTTATGTCATTCTTCCTGTCTATAACGTAGCACCAGTTCAACAAAAATTACAGTTATTGTTATTAGTTTGTCAATCTCTCTATGTTATACACACATGTTGTGAGCACATACTCGTCATACAGTTCATGGAGAGTTTTGATTTATTGTTATGAATATATAATATCAATTAAGTTAATATATAGGAAAATAGATGTATTATATGTATTTGTAATCATATTTTTTTGGTAATGTGCTATTTATGAATGGATGTTAAAAGTTTTGCTGAAAAGTGTATATTATTCATGGGCTATGCATGTAAGCGCTATTAGTATTATGCTGATTTCTGATTTGATGTTAGAGTTTAGGGGGTGTTTGGTGAAACTTTAAATAAGATTTATGTTGGAATTTAATGTAAATCCAGCCAAAAGAAAATCACAGAAACTAAAACTGGCCAGCAGTCCCTTAAATCCAATTTTCTCCCCATTTTGTAACTTGATTTATTTTTTAACGTAAATTCGGATTTACTCGCTGCGATTGTTTTATATTTGAAAGATGATAACACGTGTGGATTTATATCAAACACTTCAAATAGATTTAACAGGAGTTATACTCAAACCAAATCAAACACTGGTATAGATTTACAATATTTACATTTGATAAATGTTGATTAACGAGCTTTACTAAATTCTATTTAATGTAAATCCTATGTGCAACCAAGCACCCCCTAGATGAGTTAAACTATGATTTTACTATAGGAATTTATTCTTTTTCCGATGGTCATATACCATCAGTTAAATATCATAAAATCATCGGTTAATAAATTTTCTAGCTTGTCAGTAATTTTAAAGGCGTAGCTAAAACCCTTTTCAGTAATTCATAAACAAACTGCTTTACCGACGACTTTTTGTTATGGGTGATATTCCAACGAGCGATGATTGACGTTTTATGGTAAATTTGAAGACGTAGGTAAACCGTCAATTTTTGTCCAGTTTTTAATTATCTACAATCATTGAATTTAACTGTTGCTTTTGCATAGGTAAACTGTTGAATGTAAAATACAAGGTAGCCATCGACAAACTGGAACAAATGTCAATTTTTTGTTGTAGAAACAAACCATCAGTTATGCATCGGTATAGTAACCAACGATGTTTAACTGTCAGATATCACGACAACTGGTTGATGCACTGTCAAAAGACCAATGATAAGCTGTAAGAAAACTATAGAAATGAAAAAAAAAAAATCTCTTGCTTCCTAGTGACAATTTTCACACCTACAATCAAAGATGCGATAATTACAACGCAGTTTTACCAATACAAGTATTTATCAAACTGAAATCACAATAATAAATTTTCCAATCAAATAAATAAAAATCGAAAATCATTAAATTAAGCATATATAAAAAAAGGTTTAGAAAAAGAATGTCCGCTCTAATGCTATATATATATATATATATGAAAAAAGACCCTAGCTAAACATCCTTTGTGCCCTCATCATCATTCTCATCATAAAAATCATCTGTCACTAGCTGCTATTCTCGCTAGTATACTGGAGTACATCTAATTCTGATTTGATCTTGACCTTTATCTCTAACCTCATCTCGGTGAGCTAGGTCGTGACCCGTAAGGACATTTGAATGTAGTCTTTTTTTGATTCTCAGGAGCTATTGGTATTTGATGGTATCTTGAATATTTATCCAGGAAACAAGAAAATAATGACCAACTAATCTATCCAACATCTGGTCTGAAAAGAGTAATGAGAAATGATCTTTCCTGGTGGCTAAATTTAATTTTCTATAGTCAATACAAATTCACCACCCAGTGACTTATCTAGTGGGAATTAATTCATTCCTTTCATTAACAGCTACAATAACTTCCGTCTTTCTTGGAAACACAATGGATCAGACAAACCCATGCATTGTCCGAAATTGGATAAATAATACTTGCATCTAATTACTTTAATATTTCTTTATTTACCACTTTTTTCATAATAGAATTCAATCTTCTTTGAGGATCTGCTCTAGGTTTATAATTATCTTCCATTAAAATCATGTGCATACATATTGAAGGGTTGATTCTTTTGATATCAGCTAATGTCTATCCAAAGGCTTTCTTGTAATGCCTTAATGTTTCAATTAATTTTTCCTCTTGAGATTCCATTTAGTTTGAGGATATTATTACTGGTAATGTTTATGAATTTCCTAAATAAGCATACTTTAGATGCTTTGGGATTACATTCATCTCTAGTTTAGGAGGTTTTTTAATAGAAAGAATGAGAGGTTCATTATTTTATGTAGCATCTAAATGCTCAAATCTTTCCTAAACATAGTTTGAATCCTCATTGATCATCTCAATAGACTTATCTTAGAAATTAGTATCATTTTCATACACCTGTTCTTGTTGTCTTGTTTTAACTTCACAATTTTCTCTGAATTTGTCATTACTTAAATAATCAATAATCTCCATTCTATAACAATCATCTTCTATTCCCTTAGCTCGATACTTCATCAACTTTAACACATTAAAAGTGACTTCCTAGTCATTAACTATCATGATTAACTCCCTTTTTTGTACACCTATCATAGTGCATACATTAACAAGAAAAGGTCTCCCTAAAATGATAGATATTTCTTTATCTTCCTCTATATCTAAAACATTGAAATCCACAGAGAAGATACATGTATCCACCTTAACCAGTACTTTATTTATAACCCATTTTGGATACGTGATTAATCGATCAGCTAATTGAAGGGTTACAGTAGTGGGAGAAATCATTCCTAAGCTTAACCTTCTGAATATAGATAAAGGCATAAGGTTAATATCAGCTCCTAAATCACATAGAATTTTTTCGCAGAATCTTTCTCCTATATCACATGGAATAGTAAAGCTACCAGGATCTTTAACTTTTTAGGAAGCTTTTTCTGAATTATTGTGTTGCACTTCTCACTAAGCGCAACGGTCTCGTGATCTCCAAACTTCCTTTTCTTGTTAAGGATTTCCTTCATAAACTTTGCATAGCTCGACATTTGTTCCAGAGCTTCAGCAAAATGAATGTTAATGGTTAGCTTCTTGAGTATTTTCATAAACTTTGATAATTATTGATCTAGCTTCAGCCGTCTCAGCATCTGAGGAAAAAGAGGTGGCAGTTTCTCTTAACTGATCTCAGATGTAGAGATAGGTTTTTCCAAGTCTTTCAGAATATTTTCTTCAGATTTTTCAATTTTTTCCGTCTCTTTCTCAACTTCAGTCTCTTTTTGAATTCCAACAATTAATTCCCTTCTACTCCTGAGTTGGACATCCTTAACTTGCTCTTTATTAGTCTCTTTAGGGTTTATCTCAATATTGCTAGGAAGCGTTCCTTTGGTCCTATTGCTAAATGAGTTAGTAATTTATCCAAGTTAATTCTTTATATTTCTATTTACAACATTATGACTTTGCAATTGATTTCCCATTTGTAGCATTACTCCCTCTATAAACAACTTCTTTTCTTTGAATTGTTTGTTATTTTTTAAGCGTGGAGAATAAGAAGGTCTATAATTAGTACTACTCCGGTTGTTCTAGTTCCCTATAAGGTTAGCTTGATTGTTTCCTCAGTGTTGGTTTTCATCCCTAGAGTTATTATTCTAGTTGAAGTTAGAGTGATTTTTCTATCATGGGTTATAATAATTAGAATACGAGTTGTTGGGTCTGTTATTGATAGCATTTAAAGTTTTGAATGATGGTGATTGAGAATCAATCATTTGTCCTAATGAACTTTCTTCAACTATTTGGGGTATTTGAGGTGAATTCATCTCAAACTCATCTAATTTCCTAGAAATTGCAACAACATGAAAAGCAAGAATTGAAATTACATCAGTATCGTGAACAATAACCACTTTTCTAAGGTTTACCCTTTTAGAGGGTCATTGAAAGTTGTTTGTAGCTATCTCTTCAATTTAAGAAATTGCTTCATCAAATGGCCACAAATGTCATAATTGGTTGCTACAAGAATAGTAGTTGGCCATACAAGCTCTTGTTGGTGGATACAATAGTGATAGTTGGTCATATATGTTGTATTTAGAAGCTGTAACAGTGATAGTTGGTCATAAAGGTCATAATTGGTTGCTACAAAGACATCAATTTTCCATAAATGTGTTATTTTGGCAACAATAGTTGTAAGTAGTGGTTATCGATGGTCGGTGGTTGACATCGACAAACGATGATTGTCGATGGTGCTTGACAGTGGGTTATAAGTGATGCTTGACAGTGGTTAGCAGCTACGTATATTGGTGTTTATTCATTGGAGGTTTCCAAAACATGTGTTAGACACAAAAAATCATATTTGGAATACAATGATTGTAATTAGGACTTGTTGTTGGGGGACGGTTAGCAGTAGTAGGTGGAGATGTTCGATAGTGGTTGATAGCATACATAAGATGGTCAACGAAGATCAATGGCTACAGTGACCGTTGGTTCTTACCTGGTTTGTAAAATTTCTCTTATTCTTTCTTCTTTCAAGTGAAGAGGTGTGGTTTTTTTATAAACATTTTTGTGAGGGGTATTTTGGTCATTTGGAACATAAGTTCGCTAACCTTTGATTAGGTAGCCAATGCTAATCCTCCTTGATCATATGTGATTTTTTAATGATTTGAGTAACTGAGTGACCTCAAAATTTAGCGATTTTGGGCTCATTGGATTCCTCTCATCTAGAAGCTCAATTTAAATATAAATAAGTCAAATTTGGAGTTCATTTGACTATTTAATTGAAAATCCAAAATCCTTAGTTATGCTTCAATGACTTTATATAAGCTTGATTGAACCCGAGTTGAAACAATTTTGGTATCATTGGATTTGTTTTACCAAAATAGTTAATTTAACTATAAAATTGTTGAAATTGGGACCCCAATGATCTTAATTTTAAAATTTGAAGATCCTTAATAAAAAATGCATCGATATTCATGTTTGATAAAAAATTTGTTGATGACTCATCAATCTCCATCCCCTCAAAACTCAATCATAATGATTCAAATTAAACTTACTTATAAAATATATGTAATGTACAAGTTTTTTTT